TTGGCAAAGAGATGATAAAAGTTAAATGGCCTTCTTCCCACCATTTTCTTTTGCTTTCCCTGCTTGCTAAGTCTGCTCATTAAAAATTCATTAGCCTGGACTCACTCTTGCAATTCCATCTGTCTTTTCTGTGTAAATTGTACACTCTGTCATGCTGATCTGGTCAGAGCTAGTTGCTGGAGTTGCCTGTTGTCGTTTCTCAGTAATTCATTTGTGATCTTCTTCATTTTTAAATGGTAGTTTCCTGGATCATGGTTGTTTTGTTTAAAGCTGCGTTAATAACAAGAATTAACAAACTGCTTAAATAGTTCTTGCTTCTTGCAGTAGGAACATATTGTGAGAAACTTACTCTTCTTTTGCAAAACATGTCATAATTCCTTCTTCTGTATAAACCAAATGGTATTTATTGTCCAGTATACTGGATTGCTGAAGGGTTTAATACTTCATCTGTTGACAAGACACACATACCCTCCCATTCTATAGTCATTTTTACTGGTGGTTTTGTGGACTGTTGTTTTGCATCACATCCTGAAGTTACTGCACTGACTTTATTAATTCAGTAATATCCATTCATCTGTTTTTTTGAAGCCTGCAGGATCATAACATATGCTTTATGCATAATTTCATTTTCTTGCATGTGATTTTGAGGAAGAAAAAAATCTGTGCTGAACTTTGTTCTCACTCCATCTGAATGTTGATTCATGTGGTGCAACAATTTAATATTACTTCCGTTCTCTTTTTCTTCAGCTTAGAGTAGTTTGGAATTTCTCCTAAGGAACATCAAGAGTTGGTGAAGAATGTGTATAGCTTGTTGATCCCTTTCATGATCTTGTTCTCTGTGGTTATTTTTTCTTAACCCCCTTTCCTGTCTCTACAAACATGGTATTAGTCTGCAAAACATAACTATTATATTGGACCTTCAAGAGCATGGTGAAGCAACATTAGTTTAAGTCCCTTCAGCTAAAGGTAGAGAGCATTCATAAAAACAGCCATCTGGGTGTGGCAGTATGTGCAACAGTATCACCAGCTTGCACTGGAAGAACCTACAAGCTGCATACATCTGCCAAGTCTATGGCCTGGCTGCCCCAGCCGTAGGAAAAAAAATGTGGCACCTTTTGTGGATACTTTTACATAGCTCAATTTTAGCTTGTTTTTTCCCTTTCAACTAAATAATTGGGCTGTTTTAGGTGCAGATTGGAAATAATTATTTCCAGAAGACTTTGCTCTACAAGTGCGTAATTCCATCAGCATATTTCAGTGACAGAGAAACAAAATGGTATTTCCAAGAGCACACACTATAGATATGTGAATTTCTTCTTGGACTGCAGGGTAAGATGCAGACCTTATTCTTTCCCTTTGCAAATAGACACAATTAAAATAACTAAAAATGTGTGCTGACTTCATATGTACTGGGTGACTTTGCTTACTCCTGATGTTTGGTAGACAAACATTACATCTTTTAAGTATGGTTTATATATTAAGTAACGACAGCACAGAGATGGGGAAGTGTCAAAACAGGCTTGATATCCCTATATGTTTGACTCTTTTACAGAATTGGTATCACTGAGTCTATTGCCATCTTTCCATTCTGCCATCCGCTTATTGCAGTTATGAGCATTTTATCAATGAGATACATCTTTGTGGTTCTTAACAAATGGTACTACCTGCAGGCTTGGCATGTAGGAAGAAAAAAACCTGTTCTTAAAAAAAGTAAAATAAAACCAGTAGTTGGATGGACAGAAACGTAATGCTTATCCTAAAAAACCGGCATCTGCTCAAATCAGTTCACATTCTAGTTGAGAAGATAAGTAACAATGGAAATACCAATTTACAGAGAACCAATTCTTTTGCTGAGAGCAATTTACTGTGGTGGTTTCAAAATGCAGGCTTTCTACGAAGTGTAAACGTGTCAAGGGAAACTCCTCTTCATCTTTTTTTTGTCTTCTTTAAATATTGAGTAATTAATGTTGATATTTTTTGGTCATTTACATTTCTTTCCTCAGAAAGACAGTAATAAGTTTAACAGAAAAAATAACATGATCAGGAAAAAAAAGAAAAAACATAGTGCAGTAAGGGCACATGGCAAGAGTGCATATATTCCAATAACAATGCATGTATTAGCATGGTGTGATGTTAGACATTAGTGTGTCATACATGTCTCTTTTTCATTTGTCCCATGCTAATCTTTGAGTGGTATCTGACACCTTTGTGAAAATTTCAGTAATCGGAGAGTCTTTATATTTGCAAAATGTGGAGTTTTTGATGTTTCTTATCCTCAACAACTATCCAAAGCATAGTAACGTATTTTTTCACGTAATACAATGATTTATAGTAGTTAACCTAGTACTTCTATTCATTGTTCCTTCTCTCTGTGTTTTAGAAAATTTTCCCAGTATTTAGCTGGATTGGGACAGATTAATTTCTATACAGAGCCTGCTTTATAATCTAAGGCAAATCAATAACATCTTAGAAAATCTTAACGAAGTGAACTGTATTCTGTAAGCACTTCTGGTGTGTCAAGTGAACCCTCTTGGTAACTATTATTTTCACTTGTTTTCCATACTTCCTAAATATATGAAGCAGCAGCAAAGAAAAGGATATCCCATCTTGTTCCTCTTCTCCTTGTTTTGATTCTGTAGTAAGTGTTTAATCAATTCTCTTGAATTGGCATCACTCTGTCATTCTCTTTGAGAAGCAAGAACGCAATGCGATCTGAAGAAATGATCTTTCTAAACTGAAATACTGTTTTGTTTCCGTATTATGATTGATGCTGAGAATTACCCATGAGCTTATACCACTACACAGCAATGAACATAATAGTGGTTATCTAATGCCTTATAACCACAGAAATGGCCTAAAAATGCAGTCTAAAAGTTTAAAATATGTATTTTTAGGTAATGGCATCTACACTCACTGATGCTGTATCTCAAATGATTTCTTTTGTAGAAGTCTTCTAAATAATGTTTCTCTCTCTTTTTTTACCAGATAAGGAGACAAAGCATGTTGAAACCATGTGGCAGCTTGAGTAACTCACATGAAAAGTTTTGGGAAAGAACAGCTGAATGCGTAACATGCTGAGTTTTGGACCTCTGCCTGTGGAGCTGGCCACTCATTCCTCTCACCAGCTAGCCGTGGCGTTTCCTTGAGCTTCTGATGTTTATGGCACCAGCTTCTGATGCTACTGTTGCTTTCAGGTGTCTGTTGGATTTCTTGTTTTTAGGGCTATTCCTCACACTGGAGCACAGAAGTGGAAGTTCTGCAGTTTCAGGCTGGAACTTCCTGACTTGAAGGCTTTTCTACTCTGATTTTCCTTTGTACTGTTTTTGGCCAGTGAGGGTATTGTTCATCAGTGAACTCCGGCCTCCTTCCCTTCTGCCTGTAGTTACTCTTCAAAAGTTGATTGCTTTTTGTTACTAGGGCACACACCCATGTTTCAAACAGAAGTAAATTAATTCTAAAAGCCGTGTTCTGAGAAGAGCCTTTATGTTGATTTCAAGTTCTTAAGGCTTTTTTAACTCAAAAAGTACATGAAGGCATTTCTTCCTCCCTGCCTGTTCTTAGGGCATGTATTCCTGTGGCAAGTGATTGTTGGTTTTGGTTTTTTGTTGTTGTTTATGTGTGACTAGATAATATGATTCGTTTCTAACCATGCTGTATGACTATTTATACTTTTTCTAGCATTTACTTGCACCTTTTCTGGCATCATTTCAGCTTTTTAACAGAATGGGTTGAGTTTTTCTAGAAGGTTACTGGTAAGATTTCTGAAGTGCAGGGTAAAAATCGGGTTTATTTAACTGTTCCTGTGCTTTTTTTAGGTTTCTTGGCTAAAACTGCTGGGTAACCAGAAGATTTAATGCAAAATCTTTCTGCGCTATGCCTCCAGTAACCATGGTTCCTGATGGTGCAGGAACTATAATTTCTTAAGGAATTGTCATGAATATCTTTGAGTGGCTGAAACCTCAAGATATTTGTTGTCTCGCTGCTAGATATGGTGCTAAAGTAGGAAGCAACAACTGCGTCTGCTAAACTGAAAGTTTTAATTGACTTCATAAATATATTTCAAGGTCAAACATAGTGGGCAACATTCTTGAGTTTCAAGTGGATGTTTTTTTCAGTCAAAAATGTTGGTGTTTGGTTTGCTTCAGTATTTTAATCCTTTATTTAGCTTGTGCTGTATTACCTGTATTGATAAGTTCAAAATGCTGAAAAGCTGACTGGATGAAGTGTACTTAAGATGCTTATAAGAATCTTACGCTGTATTCATTAAATGCTAGTATACTGTTTCCTTTGTTAGAAATACATTAGAATAAAATAGTATGAGTCTGGTTGATTGTGAATAAGACAACAGTTTTTTTTGGGGGGGTGAGGGGAGGAGTATTGGTGATGACCTATACAGACAGCTGTTGAAAAGAATGGCATCCTGGCTGTGAGTCTAAAGCAAGCTGTCTTCACATCTGGAAGAGGGAAGCATTGCAGTACCATTAGTAGATCAGGTCTGGTCTGTGGTCGTGCCTAACTGAAGTAGTAGCTGTTAGACATGTTTTTGAAAAGCTTTGTTTACTGTGATTATTGTCAATAGAAAAAATACACAGCTGAATATGGGAGAAGTTGCTGTGGATGTGCTAATGGACGTAGATGGCCTCAGGGGTGAGGGACTATAAGGAAGATAATGGGCTAAAAGGATGAAAAAATGCAAGGATGCTTCTCTTCTGTGTGCAATACTACTCAAGAATGTTTTTAACATCTAATAATATCAGGAATATATTTATGGTACCTTTTATAAAAAAAAAACCACCCAAGTTAGTTTTAAAAGGCCGATGTCAGTGACAGTTTTGTTATGCAGAGCATAAGACAAGGCTAAATAGAGAAGTACTGGTGATGACTTCTGGGTGATAGAAAATCTCATTTCTGCGATCCTCTCTCAAGTCCTCATGTTGCATAAAGGCTCTATTTCTGATCAAGCTCTGTTTTATTTTTAGGAGGATAGCATTGTGTTTAAAATGGAAATTGACATAAATGGAGAGTCCAGAACTACCTTATCCACCCTCCCTGTGCCTCTTCCAGAGGTGAGTCCTGTGGGCAGGATGGAAACAGAGAAGCCCCGCTGTTCCAGTACCCCCTGCTCACCAATGCGACGGACAGTTGCGGGATATCAGATCCTTCACATGGATTCTAACTACCTGGTTGGCTTCACGACCGGAGAAGAGCTGCTAAAATTAGCCCAGAAGTGTACAGGAAGTGAAGAGAATAAAGGGGAATCTGGGCCAAACTTATGCTCCAGACAGCTTGATTCAGGACTTACACGTTCCTCCCGTTTGTACAAAACTAGAAGTAGGTACTATCAGCCATATGAGATCCCAGCAGTTAGTGGAAGGAGGAGGAGACGGATGCCTAGCTCAGGGGATAAATACACTAAGGTTTTACCATATGAACCTTACAAGGCACTTCATGGTCCCCTGCCGCTTTGCCTTTTAAAAGGTAAAAGGGCTCATTCAAAATCCTTGGACTACCTCAATTTAGACAAAATGAGCATTAAGGAACCTGCTGACACAGAAGTGCTACAGTACCAACTCCAACACCTTACCCTTAGAGGGGATCGTATGTTTGCAAGAAATAACACATGAGCTATCAGCTTGAATTTAGAACTGATTTCTGATTATTTCTCTGTTGCTGCAAAAATCCTCTGTTGTACTGTGTACATGACTGTCCACATTGTAGGTGGTTGTATCAGCTGTTAGCAGAAAGTAATTTATTTGAATAGAATCTTGGCAATGCAATGTGTTGACATCGGAGGGAGAATTTCTCGGAAGGAGAAATCCCTCCTGAGCAAGCAGCTTCTGAAGCAAATCTGACTGCAACTGGTGGATATTTCTTTGGACACCTTTTAACAAAAAGCAGCTTTCCGTTTTTGGGGTCTGGGGTTATTTTTGTACAGTTAGATCTAGTATTTACAGTACTTAAACACTGAAAAATTGGTGATGTCTGCTTGGTTGTTGCTAATTTTGGCTTGATGTTAGAAACTGCTCTTGGATAAGTACTCAAGTTTAGAAGGTTTTTTTGGTTTTACTTTTTTTCTGTATTCTAGAGTAAAATGTGTGTACTCTTTTTTGGGGTGGGGGTTTACATCATGGAGAGGAAAGTGAGCTTGGCTAAATTGGATCACTTGCTATTAAACAATCCAGTTCAAACACTTTCAAACTGCGTTTGCATTGGCAGTGAGTGAGAGTGAGAATCACACTCGTAAAACCTTTGGTACTTGACTCCTGTTAAATTACCTTTTAGTTTCTTCATGGAAGCAATTGCTTTGGCTCCTCTGTTCTATAAAACTTGTTTAGGATAAGTATTTGGGTTATTAAAAAGAAATATTTTTGTGAGTGAGGATTTTTTTTTTTAGTGGGATTTATTTTTTACATTCTCTTGATTTATAAACAAGGATTCACTAAGATTCCAGTAAATACACTGGAATGTCTGCATTGGTATGTCAATGGTTTTTATTTTAATTAATGATTGTTTTATGTATAGTAACAGAAGTCGTCAAATAAATTCAGTATTGCTTTGGAAATTCAGTTGATCTGAAGCACTGAACACTTGAGATCTGGAAGGCTGATTTTTTTTTTTTAGTGCAAGTGAAGTATTTCTGTATCAGCATTGTAGAGATGATCCTGGATTCAGAGTAGTTTGAATACACTGGCTTACTTTTGTTACTTAAGAATTTTTTTATCCAAACATGACATCAAATTCAGTTTTGACAGCTGTATTCCTAGATGTATTTAGAACATTTTAGTAACTTATGTTTAAAATGAAAAATAGTTTTCAGACCTTTTTTTAGGTGCAATCTTACTGAAACAGTGTGCAACTTGGTTTTGGCTGATGACTTCTGAAGAAGTTAAAAATAAGACCACATTGTTCTGAAACATGAATTATTTGATCAGTTGTTTCTGATATAATTAAGATTTTGTTTGTTTATCATTAAGAATGAGTAGAACGCACTAGTTAGTGCATGCACTGTGGAAAATGAAGAGTTCTTCTCATTCTGTCACTTACTCCACAGTTGTAAATGAATGCAGCCCAGTAGTCTGCATTTTGCTGGTATGGTTGTCTTTTTTAGGTTTATTAGAATCTTTGCAACAAACTGATGTGTATTTTTGAAAGTTAACTAAACCTGTGTAAATTTAATGTGTTGAACGATGATCTTGAAAGAAAAATCTTCCTATATTGTCTTTAGTTTGAAAAATGTAATATGGTCAGATGCCAAAGAGATGGGGATTTTGTTTAAGGAATAAACACCACTGTTAATTAAAATACTCTATGAAACTGTATTTCTGGCTGAAAAATAAAAAGGGTGGTATAAACACCTATTGTTGTGGAGTCTTTTGCTGTGTAGGAGAAAGAGGACATTTAAAAAATACAACTTCAGACCAGGGATCATTTAAAAACAGCTTTAAAGCGGGGATCTTGGAGTTTGTGAAATAGATGCTTAGATATGTTACTTTATTTCAGGAAATGGGCTGTGCAATTATTAATGTTTTGTGCATATTTCTAATGTCATCCTGTGCTGTAATTCTGTAGCTGCACTAATAGAGAGCTTGATGGCTATCTAGGCAAGTTCAAGCATGCAAAATGTTAGCACTTTATCTGTTTCATGATTTGCTTTTGAAAGTGCTTACGTGTGGTAGTATTGTTTCCTTAAGTTGTACACACTTGCAACTCAGAGCATATCCTCATTCAAGAGCCCAATGTTTTTCAGGTTTAATTTGCAATGTTCTTTATCAGAACTCTTATATCCACTAGGACGTCCTGTTTTTACCTCTAAATTAAGCAAAATCTCAGCTAAATGAAAGCTTTTGATCATGTCCATTAAACTAGTCTGTTAAAATCAAAGATGAGATGGTTCTTCAGACTACTAAAATGAAATTGAATATGAAACAATACTGACCTTTCACAGTGAGTTCTCACTGTTCTTGTAATGAATTTAAAAAAAAAAAAGGGCATTTAAAAATGTTTCCTTGTCAGCTGTTTCCTAATTCCGGACGATTAAGAGAATGAAGGTAGAAACGATAACAGCATAGTAGCGCAAATCTTATATTTAGCAGACCACTAACACCAAAGCAGATCTGGAATCGAGTACAAATGTGTAAGCCGAGGTAGAGACAGATCTTAAATTCAGGCACACTGCTGGCATTTAAAAAAAAAAACAAAACAAAAAAAACAAAACAAAGAAAACAACAACAAAAAAGGATTGGTATTAAATCCATTCTTTATTTCAGTGTTTTCTTTCTTCATTTCAGGTACAAACTTGTAACTACTCCTGCCCTGCTGTGTTACGGTTTGTATTTACATCTGTACACAGTACCTAACTGGCCTTATGGTTTCCTGTACCTTCTTTTTGTCCATCCATTGAATGCTGACTTATACTCGGCTCTCTTGGGTGATGATCTCTTTTCCTGACCGTGTTTACTGTAATGGGAATTGTTAATTGCAGACTAGGGCTACTAGACAACATTGCAAAATAAGTAAGAGAGAGGCTTTTAGAATTTTCAAAAACTGCTCTCCTGGATGTGTTTTTTCTGCTGGGAAGAACAGGAATGGGGAAGGATTATTTTTAAACTGCTGAAAGCGCAGATGTTCCTGTCTGAACATGGAGAAATGTTCTCAGTAGTTCAGGGCTTGGACCATAAATAATTTCATTATTATGTGGGCAAATAAGAGAAGAGGACAAGTGTAGTTTTTAAGAATTGCAAGAGAAGAGCTGAAAGGCTATAAATTGCATAAAAAACCTTCCAAAATCTACAATATCTGCAGAAACACCAGCTACTTAGTTTCAGTAAAGCTAGGTGGTGTCAGGCTGTACAATTTGCTTTTGAAGAAGTGAAAAAGCTAGCCAGAATACAAAACTGGTCTGAAAAAAAAATGTAAGTGGGTATCAAAGTCTGTTTTCATTTGATAAAGCACAAGATTCAGTTTAAAAAAAAGAAAAAAAGTGTTCAGGTGAATACTAAGCTAATGTCAAGTCTTCTGGATCAAAGGAATGTAGTAGTAGAAAGGAAAATACTACCTATAATATAGACTAAGCAAAGAATTCTTAATGGATAAGATAACTGTTGGTACCATTGAAGAGAGTTAAAAACAAGGAATCTGAAATGGAAATTATCCAACATAGTCCAATTTTGATGTTCTGGATGTTTGGGAGGGTGGTCTGGCTGAAGTAATTTATTAATGTAAAATTTCATCTTAGAGGAATGTGTGCTAAAAGGAGACAATAGGAAAAATGATGCACAGTAAGAATATAAGAAGAAAACCAGGAAAAAATTCTTTGAGGAAGACTATAGTGGAGCTACATTACAGAAATGTAACTAAGTTGTTAAGCTTTTGTAGGAAAAATGCAGAGCTAAAATTGAAAAATGCAGGTTTATTACAATGTTAATAACTTTAAATTAGACAATGTAAAAGTTGTCAGCCAACAGTAAAAGTGCACATTTCTTTGTGTGTTGCCTAAGCAGTTGGCAAATACAGCTTTATTGATGATTCTTTCTGGGCACTAACTGTTTGCATGAGTGGTTTTCAGTGATTTGATCTGTTAATTAGGACATCAGTTTACATGATGAGTGATTACACTGAACACTAGGAGTGGCTAAAACGTGTCCAATAGGACACGTGTTTTTATGGAACATCGGAAGAACACATTTAATAGTGTTCGGATTATTGATGATTTTGTTTTGTCTGTATTGCGCTACATTTTCTAGCCAGAGGTTAATTCCAACTTTCCAAGTCCTTGACAACCTTCAGACAGAATATTTTTTTCTTTTTTTCCCCCCAGTGATTTTGCTAGTTTGTTTTTTTCCCCCTCTTTCCTCTTTATTCCATCGTAAGAGCACTAAGGTCAAGCTGTATCTTCAGGTCTATAGAATATGGAAAACTTTCTTTTTTTGAAGGAGCAAGAGGGATCCCTAGTTGTCTGCAGTACTTGTTTCTGATCTTGTAAGAGCTAGGTATCATTGTTAAATATATGATACTTGAGCATAGACAACTTTCTGTGAGCTGCTTCTGTAAGTGTTTCCTTCTGACTCTTAATCATGGGTTCAGCTTGGGAGAGTGTAGGCTGTTGCAAGATGCTGATAACTGACCTATAAAGCATGACAGATTCATAAAAAAGGCCTTGTTTCCTTGCATCAGAGTGATGACTTCCATCAACCAACAACCACTTTACTTTCCTCCCCTATAATGCAAGGATCATTCTTAATGATGGTACTCCCTTAGAAGTTGCCTTTGGTTGCTGCATCTGGTGGCAGTACTTAAGATTTGAGTGCTGCTGCTCCAGTGATGTAAGTGCTAAACCTAATCTTTTGCATTTTTGTAGGGCAGCTCAAGGGAGGGAACATAACCCTAGTGTTTCAATACCGAGTCAGTCTTGCATCTTCCTTAACTTACCTTTAGTAGTTTGGTCGAGAATGGCATCAAGGCAAACCTACAGAGGAACTTTCTAGGCCACATTAGAAGAGCTGAGGAAAGAAGACAGTGGGGAAAAATCCAGACTTGGCTGACTTGCAATGAAAACAAAAGGGAGGGGAAGGATATTAACTGATCCCATTCCACTCATGTTTAGGGGATGGTTGTCTAAATTTGC